ACACAGAGAGAGAGAGAGAGAGAGAGAGAGAGAGAGAGAGAGAGAGAGAGAGAGAGAGAGAGAGAGAGAGAGAGGGAGCAGGCAAAGGTCCTCTTTCACGTGAAAAGGAGGGTCACTGCAAGGAATTTGAGGGGTCCCTACACTAAGTAAGCGGAGGTCCTATCACCAAGCAGGGATGGGCACCCTTATGTTTTGTCTTTTGTGCATGTAGTAAGTAGCAGACCGAGATTTAGGGCCACTCCACCTATTCCTAAGAAAAGAAAAACAAAAAAAAGAGAATCACGTGCAGAGATCTGGCCTAGCGAAGTTAGTAACCCATAACTGCTCCACAGACCTGAATTCAAATCCAGAGCATATATTCGGCCTTCCCACGCCCTGCTCACACTTCAACAACCATCTCTGCTTCATGATGAGCTCTTGCCAGTTTTCGGCAAGGGTCCTTCGCAAAAGAGATTGGAAAATAGAACATGCACACACAGTTTTTAGGCTTAACGTGGCCCCAATTGTTTTTCGTTTGCACTCGAATTTTCAGAAGGGAGGGGGTGTGATGACCCATCCAAACATGGACTGAAACACACAGCTGATTTCTGAGTTTTGCCCATAGACTGAATGACCTGCTGAGTTTCCCGCTTGCTACTAAGTCTGTGTGTGCACGCTTGTTGGACTGCATGTCTGTCTGAGTGCTGGTTGGCTTGAGTGTGTGTGTGGCCGTGCCTGTCTGAGTGCTGGTTGGCTTGAGTGTGTGTGTGGCCGCAAGGGCACTTGCTCGTTCATTGGGCCCTCAGGGCCGGTACTTACCTGTGGCCGTGACATTGCGAGATTGCAGCGGGAAAAACACTCAATAGCGGGTAGGCCGGTACCGCACCCTGAAGGGGTAGATGTGCGGGTACCGGAGGCCGAGCAGAAGAAGACAAAAGTGGCATTTTTAGAGGCCCAGTAGTTGTAGGTTAGGTCTAGGTGGATACCAGTCCAACCAGTCTGGGTCTAGGGCCTGTACGGGCAATATCAGAGTCTGCAATGATGTTTCCCTCCGAAAGGGAGGAGGTATGGTTGCTTGGAAGGCCGAGCGGCCTGGAAGTCACCGCCTGAAGAGGCAAGCAGGCCGCTATATCTCCCAGCCGGGCGAAGAGCCCGACCTCTTTTTCGGTGTGCAAGTTTGGCGACACACTGGTGGAGCGCTGGTTGGAGCAGCGCTGTTGGGGAGGAAGGAGAAGGACACGAGGGAGGAAGAAGGAAGGAAGGGGGAGGAGCGCCAGGGGTACTTACCTGGCTATGGTGGCAGCCATCTTCATCACCTTGGTGGGTGCTGCAGCAGGGAGTCCCCAACTGGGGAGAGCCACACCAAGAAGCTTCAAGGCAGGGTTGGGCATGGAGGCCTGAGCTAGAGCAGCCATAGCTGCTTTGGGTTCTCCTTTGGGCATCTGGGCAAGGCCTAGTGGTCCGCCATAGCCTCGGCCTATGAGAGTGAAGAGTGGGGGAGGCGGCCATGGCTATGGTGGACCTGAAGTGATACCTACAGTAGAAGAGGAACTCGGACATGGATTCTGGATCAGCCATTCAACATTGTATTATTATTTCTTGTATGAATAAGAGAAGGGGGAGATRAGGAGGAGGAGATTGTTGGGCGAATAAGAAGAGCCTTGTCATTTGTCTATGCTGGTGTACATCATCTTCTTCTTCTTTCTTACTTCTTCTTCTTCTAATCCTCTCTCTCCTCTCAAGTTCATTCATTTCATTCTGCAATTGGACGTCATTGTACTATCTGATGGATGTGTATCTCGAAATTGGTCAGGATCATAACAGGGGGCGTGTTTGGTCATCACACTCTGCCCTTCCCGAATTTTTTTACTGACCCCTATTTCGGGGATGCGCCGCATCACGTGCGAGTGCGCTCTGTGCTGCATGTGCCACGACCCCGTGCACGGGATGCGCCGCAAGTATGCTATCAAGTAATTCGTTTGTTAATTGAGCTTGAATTTTTAATCGATGTGGTGATGTAAAAAATCCTTTTTTTCTTGCATCCATTTTTTTCTGTGTATTATGCAGCAACTATGGCAGCATGGCAGAAGACGATGGACTGTGACGAAAGTCGGCTCCGCGGAAGGGGCCAATGCAAGCGTTCTGGTGCAGTCACGGGTGGAGAGGAATTGGAGAAAAGAGGAGGAGGAGGAGGAGGAGGAGGAGGAGGAGGAGGCCGTAGAAGTCTGGGAAGGGGATTTGTCGGCTATGTCCACAGAAGAAGAGGCAGCGTTGTTAGCGGAAGCGGAAAGAGAAATCCAACTCCTGGAGAAAGAGAGGTTGGAAAAGGACCTTGCTGGTGTGATGGTCGAAGGACGAGAGACACAGAATTTTCAAGATAACGACGACGATGAGGAGGAAGAAGAAGAAGAGGAAGCATGGATGAATGGCATGGAGGAGCAGGAGGAGGAGGAGGAGGAGGAAGGGGAGGTGGAACAGGGAGAGAGGCATCAAGTCACTGCTGTTCATACATCAGCAACAGCTGCGAGTATCAGGAGTAATGAGAAAGATGATGAAGGTGAAGGCGAAGAGGTCGAGATGGAAGGCTGTGGCAATGTGACCAGGAGTATTCTATCAGGGAAGCAGGAGGAGGAGGAGGAGGAGGATGGAGAAGGAGGTGTCCAGGAGATTGGGGAAGATGGTTTTGATTGGGAGGAGGAGGAAGAGGGGAAGATGTCTCTGAAGGCGAAGAAGGAGAGAGGTATGCCTGCTGTAATGCGGTGCTTTGACACTGCGAAGATTTTTGTGAGATCTGGTGATGGAGGTAATGGCGTCGTCGCTTTTCGGAGAGAGAAGTTTGTGCCGCATGGCGGTCCATCTGGCGGGAACGGTGGGAATGGTGGCCATGTCTTCATCCAGGCTGATAAATCCCTCAACTCCTTGCTCCCATTTAGGAAGAAAGTCCATTTCCGGGCCGGCCGCGGAGCACACGGTCAAGGGAAGCGTATGGAGGGGGCGGACGGATCGGAAGTTGTCGTCATTGTTCCCCCAGGTGAGCGCTTTTTTTTCAACTTTTTTTTTGGTAAAGCGTGTCCATATTTTGTCTGAAGTAAGAACACCCCCCCCCCACTTTGTGCGGTCCCCTCTTGATCCTGATCCTCCTTGCCGTGATTCCTGTAGGGACACACTAGGGAAAGGGAGTAAGGGAGGTGTTGCCCCCTGTTGCCCCTCCCCTCCTTCCCCCCCCCCCCCCCCCTCCCCCCCCCCCCCCCCCCCCCCCCCCCCCCCCCCCCCCCCTCCCCCCCTCCCCTCCTCCCTCCCCCTCCCCTTTTTGCACCTATAGGGCAGTGCCTTGTGAGGCTGATCTAGTGATGATAAGCCTCCACCCTCGTTTCGTGTGTTTTGCTTAACACCTACCGTGAGCAAAGCCAAGGCCCCCCCCCCCCAAAAAAAAACAAAGGAGGAGAGAAATTGAATTACTGAGGATCAACAGATGTCCTTTGCGGCAAAATGTCAATCAATATCATTTAAATCAATCAAGCAGTCCCATCAATCAAGCAGTCCCATCACGCAAGCAGTCCCATCAAGAAGTCCCATCAAGCAGTCCAACGGTCAACGCTCGTTCGATTGCTGACTACGATTCGCGAGTGTTTTTTTTGCTGGTACTTGAAAACTCAACATAGGTGTGGTTTGGCGAAATGGCAAATATCAGGCAATGACGAAAGTGGATAATTAGAGGGAATCAAGAGTGGAATTATACGCTATAAAGGACCCGGTTGAGGGGTTGCAGCAACAGGAGGGGAAGGGAAGGGGAAGAGGGGGGGAGGTGGTGGTTCAGTGGTGAACTGCCGAGAAGAATCAAGAGTGAGTCAGCGGCATTGAGAATTGCGCCAAGGAGCTGCAACCAGCAATGAACGGAGTGCATGTCAGCTGTCGACAGCTCTTTGAAAATGCGTTGGTATCCATTTGTGCATGTCATATATGATGTTAACTTGTTGAGCATGGTGGATTGTAATGGCTGCGAAAGCCCTGAATCTATAGAATTGTTCGCCCCCGAACGAATCGAACTGGTCTGCTGCCCCAGGCTCGTACGAAAGCACGGCGCCGTTGTACGCATACAGCCACAAGTTGTGTGGCGGAGAGGGGCTCAACCTCATGGTTTTAGTGAAAATGATGTGGTTGAGATGGAAGCTCATGATGTGTGGGGGTTGGGGTTTTGCTGAAATGTTTTTTTGGGCTGCATGGATGGTGGTCAAAGATGTTGATGTCAACAGGTTCGACCTGTCAGTTGCCGGATATCGCATCTGGGGCATCATCCATAGGGTTACTAGGCAAAGAAGAGAAGATTGGTGATGCGGAAGAAGAACATGGAGAGAAGCCTCGACGCAGAGAACGGGTGGTGATAACACATGAATGGACTGATGGGTTGTGGTGCTGTGAGATCAGGCACAATTGTACGTGAGTCTGAGGAAGGAAGAGAGGAGAGTGGAGAAGGGAAGGTCCTTGCCGAGCTTGTCCGTCATGGGCAGAAGGAACTACTTGTCGCTGGTGGACGAGGTGGGAGAGGCAATGCCGCGTTTAAATCGGGAAAGAACAAAGCGCCACAAATTGCGGAGAAAGGTGAAATGGGATCAGAAAAGTGGATCGAGCTAGAGCTGAAGCTGGTTGCTGATGTTGGGATCGTCGGTGTCCCGAATGCTGGCAAAAGCACATTGCTGAGTGTCATCAGTGCCGCTAAGCCTAAGGTAAGTTACTTCATTCAATCAGTCAATCAATCAATCAACCAGGCAATCAATCAATCAATCAACCAGGCAATCAATCAATCAATCAATCAACCTGCAACGATCCTGTCTCAACTTTACTCGTGCACATACATACAATGACAAGAGAGATCACATAACACACTAGAAACTCGAAACTATGAAGAGTGCCTCAAGTATATCAACAGCATCATGCACATACTTGAAGAATACTTAGTTACATCACTTGTTCTCTGACACAGGCGCATCAGCACCTGTCCAAACTCAACTCGTCACTGTAGTTTACACAGTGGAAGACTCTTCACACGCATGCACTCTCTCTCTCTCTCTCCCCCTCTTTCTTTCTCTCTCTCTCTCTCTCTCCCTCTCTCTCT